GATACATTTTCGACAAGCTCTCGACGAGACGGTTTCAACGCCGCCGTTTTCGGCGCTACTACTGCTGTTCCTGCAGTTGAGAAATCGAGCTTCGAAAATTGGTCAAGGGGGTGTGTTATCTCGTGTCATATACGGTAAGTCGTTCCAAGTGCAAAGCAGCATTTGACCTGCGAGGGGGGGGAACCAAACGGCCGGCATCAACGCTTCATACTTCAAACAAAATTATCAGAAGAGCAGCAGTACACATAGTTTCCTGTAGTGCAGTACACACACGTGTTGTTGTATGTAGTACACACGAGGTAGGGACGGTACCTAATATGTGGCACAAGATACTACACCCTATGTCGCACACGACACTGACCCCCCTGACCGATCATCAGGCGAGATTACAATGCAATCGATGCACTCGACATCAATCGACATGACACAATCAATCAAGAGTCATCAAAATGGCTGAGCGACAGAATCTTCTGGTGGCAACCCTCTTCGTCGTGGAGCAGTTGAGATTCGAATTGGGCTCGGTGTGGTACCTTCCAAGCTAACGCTGGAGTATGTATAGCGAGGACGGAGGGAGACGAAGGGGTCGCCAACAATCGGCGCTGAACACACAAGAGTACTGCGGTGTTCGCGTGCTTCGTCGACCTCACCAAGGCATACGATTCGGTGGACCGAGACCTACTGTGGGACGTGCTCCGACGCTTCGGCGTGCCCCCGAAGATGCTGGCGGTCATTCGCCACTTCCACGAGGGCATGAGGGCGCGCGTCCGAACGGACGACGGGCAGTACTCGGAATGGTTCGACGTGGGCCAAGGCCTCCGACAGGGATGCAACCTGGCCCCGCTGCTGTTCAACTTGTTCTTTGCCGCGATGCTCATGGTCGCCGTGGCCGAGTTCGACAAGGACCCCAAGGTGACGGCGGACATGGTCAAGATCGGGACACAAGTGGAGTACACGAGCAAGAAGGGCAGGTCGGCGGGGAAGAAGACGACGGTGGTGACGGACGCGGAGGCCTTGTGGGCCATGCTCTACGCTGACGACGCGGCCATCGTCTCGCGCTCGCCGGAGAGTCTCTAGAAGATGATGTCGGTAAAATCGTGCGCGTGGCCGGCCTGTTCGGACTGATGGTGTCGGAGCCAACGACGGAGATCATGTGCATGCTGCCAAAAGGGATCGAGGAACGCCCG